AAAAGCTACGAAACCCTGCAAATACTGGTGAATTCGTCCAGGGGAACAAAAACAAAGCTCTTAAAAAATGAAGAAAAGCTGACTTTCAGAAAACGCGCCAACGGCCAAATGTGCTGCAACTACCAGTGTTTTGGGCTGCTTCGCCCGCAATAATGCAAAAAAAGGCGAAAAATCCTGACTGGCAACTGGAAGAGGATAAACAACATACTATTCATTCATATATTCATACTATCCTCTATCCTCCTGCATTCTAGATACTACAAAAACTACTACAAACTACAACCCCAGACTAAGCTTGCCCCGGCCCCAACCAGCATCGCTTCTCCACGCCGAACATCCGTGGTCTGGTCCTCCAACCTTGCGGCCTGATTTTTTGCTGACCGAGCCGTGCACGGGCAAAGCTCTTGTACGGAGACCTACTCCTATTCCAAGCAGTGCACTGCAGAGTCACCCATTGCCTAGTTGAAGTTAGCTTGGGCCCCTAAGTTCTGAAATGTGTTTCTTGAAGTCTTAGAATTTTGCTGGAGTGGCCACTGCTGCAGCTGCTCCAGTAGGATACAAGAGACCGATCTAAGAGACCTAATCCTATTCCAGGGAGTGCAGCGCAGCCCACTCAAGCTGAATATGTTGTCATGGGCGTACGACTCATGACTGCGAAGACCCTTACCTGATATGGGGTTTACGGATTACGGGTGCAGCGCAGCGTCATCCGTAGCCTAGTTGAAGTTGGGTTGGGCCCCTAAGTCCCTCAAGCTTCAGTGCCTTGGAATTGGAATATTTTGTCATGGGCTTGCGACTCATGACTGCGAAGACCCTCACCTGACGCTCTGCCCTGGCCCCGGCCCCGCGCCCTCCTGGGTTGACCGTTTCATAGGACGCTGAAGGGTTTGGGGTTTAGGCGTTATAGGGTTCCTTGTTTATGGGGTTTACGGATTACGGATTACGGCAAAGCCAGAGTGCTCTTGCCCATCATGGCCCTGGCCCCGGCCCTGCGAGCCCTGCTGCGATCGTGCCCTCCTGGGTTGTGTCACACTTTTGAACTCAGACAACAGACTGAGGCTGAATCTAAAGTTGACTAGTTCAGAGTTTTGCTTTCTTAGTCAAGCAGCGGTTTCTCTTCCCTCTGCAATGCCCGAATCCATTTCAAGGCTAAGCGAAACCTCTGCTCCTGCTCCCACCTCCGGCGGATAACTTTCTCCTCGTGGTCCCGCCGCCGCTTCTGGACAGGGTACGATACAAACAGGCAGCTGGGTTCTGGATTCTAGAGGACTAAAAACTCCAGACTAGAGGAACTCAGAGGAATAGTCAAAAAGTTTTAAGTACCTGGGGCCTGGGGACCTGGGAATAGTACAGCCGAATAGACTCCAGAATTAGAAATTAGGAACCTTTCGAATTTTGCAATGTGTCCCTGCCCGCATCTTCATCACCTCCTTCTTGCGCTTATTCCTTTGCTTCTTCAGCCGCAACAAACTTTTGTCCAGCTTCGCACGTTCTTGATCCAGTCCTTGGCCAGCGTTCATGACTTCATAACATGATGGTTGATGTACTGATCTATATGCCTAGATTCCCTAGATAATCACAATTTGTCATGACGCCGAAAGAATTTTATGGGGCA